ATTAAGTAGTATTTATTCCAGGGATGCAAGGATGGTACAATATTAGAAAATCCATCAACATCATCCACCACATCAACAAAAGGAAGGACAAAAACCACATGATCAATTCCATAGATGCTGAAAAAGCATTCAACAAAACTCAACATCCATTCATGATAAAAACTCTCAACAAAATGAGTACAGAGGGCAAGTACCTCAACATAATAAAGGCCACATATGACAAACCCACAGCCAACATCATACTTAACAGCAAGAAGCTGAAAACCTTTCCTTTAAGATCGGGAACAAGACAAGGATGTCCACTCTCTCCACTTTTATTCAACATAGTTCTGGAAGTCCTCACCACAGCAATCAGACAACACAAAGAAATAAAAGGCATACACATTGGTAAAGAAGTTAAACTGTCACTGTTTGCAGATGACATTATACTGTACATAAAAAAAAACCCTAAAGAATCCACTCCACAACTACTAGATCTAATTTCTGAATTCAGCAGTTGTGGGATACAAAATTAATACACAGAAATCTGTTGAATTCCTATACACTAATGATGAACTAGCAGAAAGAGAAATCAGGAAAACAATTCCATTCACAACTGTATCAAAAAGAATAAAATACCTACGAATAAACCTAACCAAAGAAGTGAAGGACCTATACACTGGAAACTATAGGACACTCATGAGAGTAATTAAAGAAGATATCAATAAATGAAAACACATCCCATGCTCATGAATAGGAAGAATTAATATTGTCAAAATGGCCATCCTACCCAAAGCAATCTACAGATTCAATGCAATCGCTATCAAAATACCAACAGCATTTTTCAACAAACTAGAGCAAATAGTTGTAAAATTCATATGGAACCACAAAAGACCCTGAACAGTCAAAGCAATCCTGAGAAGGAAGAAAAAACCTGGGGGGGATTACACTCTCTGACTTCAAGCTCTACTACAAAGCAACAGTAATCAAGACAATTTGGTACTGGCACAAGAACAGACCCATAGACCAATGGAACAGACTAGAGAGCCTAGATATAAACCTAAGCATACATGGTGAATTAATATATGATAAAGGAGCCATGGATATACAATGGGGAAATGACAGTCTCTTTAACAACTGGTATTGGCAAAACTGGACAGCTACATGCAAGAGAATGAAACTGGACTACTATCTAACCCCATATACAAAAGTAAACTCGAAATGGATCAAAGACCTGAATGGAAGTCATGAAACCATAAAACTGTTAGAAGATAACATAGGCAAAACTCTCCTGAATAAAAACATCAGCAACTTTTTTCTGAATGCATCTCCTCAAGCAAGGGAAACAAAAGCAAATGGGACTGCATCACACTAAAAAACTTCTGTACAGCAAAGGACACCATCAGCAGAACAAAAAGGCATCCTACAGTATGAGAAAATATATTTGTAAATGACATATCCGACAAGGGGTTAACATCCAAATTATATAAAGAACTCACATGCCTCAACACCCAAAAAGCAAATAACCTGTTAAAAAAATGGGTGGAGGATATGAACAGACAATTCTCCAAAGAAGAAATTCAGATGGCCAACAGGCATATGAACAGATGCTCCACATCGCTAATTATCAGGAAATGGAAAAAAAAAAAAACCACAATAAGATATCACCTCACACCACTTAGGATGGTCAGTATTGAAAAGACTAAGAACAACAAATGCAGGTGAGGATGTGTAGAAAGGGGAACCGTCCTACATTGCTGGTGGGTATGTAAGCTAGTTCAACCATTGTGGAAAGCAATATGGAGGTTCTTCAAAAAACTCAAAATAGAAATACCATTTGACCCAGGAATTCCACTCCTAATAATTTACCCAAAGAATATAACTTCTCAGATTCAAAAAGACATATGTACCCCTATGTTTATTGCAGTACTATTTACAATAGCTAAGATATGGAAGTAAACTAAGTGTCCATCGGTAGATGAATGGATAAAGAAGATGTGATACATATACACAGTGGAATATTATTCAGCCATAAGAAAGAAACAAATCCTGCAATTTGCAACAATATGAATAGAGTTGGAGGATATTATGCTCAGTGAAATAAACCAGTGGAGAAAGACAAGTGCCAAATGATTTCCCTCATTTGTGGAGTATAACAACGAAGCAAAACTGAAGGAACACAACAGCAACAGACTCACAGACTCCAAGAAGTGACTAGAGGTTACCAAAGGGGAGGGGTGGTGAAGTGAGGAAATGAGGGTGGGGAGGGAGGTAGAAGGGGATTCAGGGGTATTATGAGTGGCACACATTGTGTTGGGGGAATCATGGGGAAGACAGTGTAGCACAGAGAAGGCAAATAATTACTCTGTGGCATCTTACTACACTGATGGGCAGTGACTGTAATGGGTTATGAGGGGGACAAGGTAACATGGGTGAATGTGGTAACCACATTGTTTTTACATGTGAAACCTTCATAAGAGTGTATATCAATAATACCTTAATAAAAAAAAAACTAAAGGCAGATATACTGAAAAAGAATGAGAGGTTGAAGAATTGCTTAATAAAGCATTTTCTCAAAGTTTAGTTGTAAACCACTGATAGTTCCTGATGCTCCATGATGGTTGCTAGTCTATCAGTAGCTCACAGTGCACATAACATTTTTAGAGGGAATGCAATGAAACAGTTTTGCTGTCATGCATTGCATTTATATGAAATATATATTCTTCACAGAAATTCTTTCTATGTGCTTAATGATCGTTATATTAAAAAGGCATAAAAATAATACAAGTTCAATGTTAGCAGTCTCAGCTAGTATTCTGCTAATTGGCTACAACTCACTTAGGCTATTCACATACTTTTGTTAGAGATTTACATCACTTTAAAACTAAAAACTGGGGCATGCTGAAACCCAAATTTTGCATTGACTTGGTCTTGGACGTCATTGAAGGGTAGATATTAGTGCTACCTCACCCTTCTTAGTGGTTCCATAGAATGAGTGTACTATAATTTATTCAATCATGTCCTTCATAGTTAGAAATTATTTTGTGTTACGATACAGAATAGAAAATCACACTGCAATTAACACTAACAGTACAAGAACTGTGTGTGGGACAAAGAATGTTTTGCTGCACATTAAAAAGGCTGCACCTGAGTATCATAATGAATATTTAGGAGTTAATATATCAATATACTTCTTGATCCTAACTCAGTGTTGGAAGGAAATAATAAATACTATGATAAAATCAAATCTTAGTTACTAATGTATCTTTTATTAGCATGCATATTAAGGAATAAGGAGCAGATCAATACCATTTTCCCTATACATGTAATGCTGGCTGTTAAGGAAATAAAATGTCACAAATTACTGGAAATGAAGGATGAGATAAAAACATAACATACATAATGCCAATCAACACTATTTCTTTGACATGAAGTTGCTAATTTCAAGTGATCTTTAGTATCATGAGTAACCTGAACCTATCTCCAGAGCCAAACAATTACTATTTTTAATGAAGATATGAACCAGTTAGTTACAGCCAAACTTGACAAGCTATGACATAGTGATACCCTCCACAACTGGCCCAATGGAGCTGTTTAGGAGATTTTTGTGGGTTTTAAATATTTTTTCTTCAAAGGCAGTAACATCCAACTCTTGGGTTTATTTAAAGGATGATGTCTGCTCTTCCTTTTCTGACTGACACTTGAGTCTACAAAATCTGACTTTTGTTATTTCTTTAAATATACTGTTAACAACATATTCCTTCTTCCTCACAGACTGATCTGTTTTCTTAAGGGTAATAGTAATGTTATTTGTATCTATTATTTGCCAACTGTGGACCTAGAAGTCTATCTCCTTATTCATTAAAAATGTCCATGAAGGATGGAAAGAAAGACTAGAGCCCTCTCCCTTATCAAGAGATTACTACTGTTTGTAGAGTGAGGATTGATCCCTCACTGCACTTCTGTTCATTAATTCCTAATGCCTGTTAGGTCAAGGGACTATATTTAACAACTGGTATATTTTGCTTTCTGAATGTGTCTATTTACCGTGGGCTGGTCCTTTTAACTCCATGAAGTATAGAAATGTGCACAGCCTTTCTCTGCTTACAAAAACCATGGAAAACCAAAGTGGAATAAGCACAGAAGTATTTTCAAATCCTAATCTCTTTAAGTAGAAAGAAAGAAGGTTCTCCTTTTTCATTTCAATTCTACAAATACTCTAACCTTTAAAGTCTGAAGTGTTAACTACTATATAGACAATGTAGAACTTAAGAAAAATTTCCTGCCTTTCAGGGGATTCATAATCTGATGGGAAAAGTATATAATTACCATGACACATGTTCAATATGACAAAATGTTATAATAATAGTACATACTACTTAGTGAACACGTACTGGCATTGATTTAAGTATTTTACATGTATGATTCATTAAATCTTCATAGTAACCCTATGAGGTTAGTTATTGTTATGACCATTTTATAGATGAAGAAGTTAAGGTGCACAGAGAAGTAACTGGTCCTAGGTTACACAATCAGTAACTTCGACTGAAATTGTAGTTTTCTTGGACTTGAGTGACAAATAATTGGCATTAAAAGAAGTGAACAGATTATCTGAAAAGAATGCTTCAACCATAAAGCACCAGAAAATCATTGGTTATCAGTAATGACATGCCCATCAAAGCAAAGAATTCTCAAAAAAGATATGAGATTGACGAACTACCTCTTTATAGGAAAAAAGCCAATTTTCCATCTTTCATCCCTTTAACTATTTCTCCATTTTTAACAAAGTATGAAGAAAACTCTCTTCTTTGTATAAGTGTCACAGGTTGAAATGCTAAATGTTAAATGTATGTTTTCAAAACTAAGAATATTTTAATTCTATATTGTCATAATTTATAATTGGGTTATTCTTCTAAAAATTAACATTATAAAGTATTTCCTACCATAATGTACTTTTGAAACATAAACTGGTTCAGGTGAAACAATAGGTTCTGCAGGGATAGGAGGAGGACCTGTAAACAAAAACATAAGGAAAACACGAAATTTCAATGAGTAGGTACCTTATTATTCTTTAACAAAACAGCAATCCAAGAATGCCTATTTTTTCTGTATACTTCTGCCAACTCTAGATCATCAAGAATCTGTCAGCTCAGCCTTGATGTCTTTCTTATCTTGAAATGAGTTATACAAACATGTCTGGGTTTCCTAACACTACTGGGTACCTTGCTTTGTAATAGATGTAACATTGTGAAAGGCAGTGAAAATGAAACCCTGTTTTAGATGCTTATGAACAATTTTCTATTTACAGTAATACAATGTAAAAACATTCAAATTTAACATTCTATCAAAGATTTATTATGTAAAAATTATAATTTATAATGGTATTTTACCAGAGTGTTTTCTAGGGCACTGCTATGTCAAAAGTTTTCAAAACTTTTGGTTCTACTCTTTGCAATGGCTTTCCAATTTGGTTCCCAAGTTAGGGAATCAAGGAAAAACAAGAAAAGAACATGATACTGAACCAAAGGGACCAAATAAGATTAGGAGAGCTTAAATGAAAAGGCTCCAGGTGCAAAGATATAACTAAAGTAGTCAGTATCTCTCAAGAATCATTCATAAATACAAAGGAAGCAAATAGAACTGCTACTCTGGACTTAATTTTGAGTAAGGTGAGAAACTGGTTGAATATACAGAAATAAGCAGGAAAGACTCACATTAGTTATCTTGGGGCTCACATTAGTTAAGCTTTAGCTAAGATAAATACACTATGGACTTCAGATAAGCAGAACTTAAAAACTCAGAGAAAGATAATTTTTTCCATTTACTCAAGTGAATAGGGTTCAAGTAGAATGAAAACTAAAGATATTAAATACTGTTTATCAAGCACAAATAATTTCAGTAAATAAAGAAAATGTGACTGTACAAGTCAATCTCCATTTTAAAATACCACATACAAATAGGCAAAAACATCTGGAGAAAGAAAAACAGAGTTGGAAGACTCTTGATTTCAAAGGTTACTACAGAGCAACAGTAATAAAACAATGTAGTGGTGGCATACAGACAGACACAGAGAACAATGGAATAGAACAGAGAGCCCAGAAATAAGTCCTCACATATGTGAACAAATGATTCTTGACAAGGCATCAATACCATTCAGAGGGGGAAATGACAGTGTTTTTGACAAATAATGCTGGAAAAAACTGTATAATTCACATGCAAAAAAACTGAAATTGGATCCTTACCTAACACTATTTACAAAAATGAACTCAGTATGGGTCAAAGACCCAAACATAAGAGTTAAAACCATGAAAATATGGGGGTAAAACTTGATGACATTGGATTCTACAATGATTTCTTGGGACACTAAAGGCAAAAAGCAACAAAAGAAAAAGTAGACAAATTGGACTTTATCAAAATTAAACCCTTTTGTGAATCAAAGGCCACTATTAAAAAGAGTAAAAATGCAAATCACAGAAGAAAATATTTGCAAATCACGTATCTGATATCCAGAACATACATATACAGTAGTCTCCCCTTATCCACAGGGGATACATTCCAAAATCCCCAGTGGATGCCTGAAACTGTAGATAGCAACTGAACTCTATATATACAATGTTTTTTTCTTTTATGTACATACCTATGATAAAGTTGAATTTATAAATTAGACAGTACAATATGAATAAAATAGAATTATAAAAATATACTGTAATAAAAACTGTGTGAACCTGGTTGGTCTCTCAAAATATCTTACTGTGCTACAGTCACCTTTCTTGTGATATGAGTTGATAAAATGCTTATATGATGAAATGAAATGAGGTGAATGACATAAGCATTTTGATGTAGCATTAGGCTACTACTGGCCTTCTGACCACACTTCAGGAGGAGGATCATCTGCTTCAGGACTGCAGATGAGTAACTCAAACTGCAGATAAAGGGGGACTATAATACAGAGGACTCCTAAATAAAAGTCAACAAAAAAACAAACAAGCCACTTCAAAAATGGGCAAAGGGCTTGAGTACAACACTTTAAGAAGACATACAAATAGCCAATAAGCACATGAAAAAATGCACAATATCACTAATCATTAAGGAATTGCAAATCAAAGCCATGAGATAACAACACATCACACCCATCAGAATGGCCACTATCAACAACACAGAAAATATCAACTGTTGGCAAGGATGTGGAGAAACTGGAAACCTTGTGTACTGGGGGAATGTAAAATGGTGCTGTCATCATGGCAAACAATATGGCATTCTTGAAAAAATTAAACCTAAAATTACCATATGATTCAGTAATTCCACTCCTGGGTATAAAACCCAAGGCACTAAAAGCAGGGTGTCATAGTTATTTGTACACCCATGTTCACAGCACCATTATTCACAATAGCCAGAAGTTACAGCTTCCCAAGTCCATCAATCGATGAATGGATAAACAATTAAAAATGTGGTATAAACATACCATAGATTACTACTGAATAGATTACTATTCAGGCTTACAAAGGAAGGAAATTCTGACACATTGTACAATACAGACGAATTTTGAGGACATTATGCTAAGTGAAATAAATAGGTCGCAAAAAGACAAATACCATATGATTCCACTTGTATACTTAATCAAATTGATATAGACAGAAAGTGAATGGTAATTGCCATTGGCTTAGTGCAGGTGTTAATGAAGAGTAACTGTTTAATGGGTACAGAATTTCAGTTTTGCAAGATAGAGTTTTTCATATTGAATGTACTTTACACTAATAAACTGTATATTAAAATGGTTAAGATGGTATTGTTTTATATATGCGAATTTTATTTCATTTTATTTTTACTATACTAAACACTTTTAAAATGATTTTTTACACTAATAAACTGAATATTAAAATGGTTAAGATGGTATTGTTTTATATATGTGAATTTTATTTCATTATTTTATTTTTACTATACTAAACACTTTTAAAATGATTTTTTTGTAAAAGGTATTGAAATAAACTAAGAAACAGACTCTTAAATCATTGGGTCAAGAAGTGTTAAAATATTTCAAACCTAACATAGTATCATTAATTGCACTGTCTTTGAAAAGAATTAGAACAAGAGTTTTTATAATTAATTAAAAAACACTATACTTTAAAAAACACCATGTACAAAATATGAAAGAAAATATGTATATGGAAAATAATTTTGATATGTTCAGAATTTGGAAAAAAACTAAAAATAAGTTTTTTTAAGTTTTATGTTACACATGAGACTAGAAAAACTAAAGTAAGGCTCACAGCAAAGAGAAGAAATAAACACAAATCTATATCCCTTCACAAGAAAAATCTTTAAACTAAAGTGTCTAGGACAAAGATTTTTAAAGAGGAAAATATAGCTCTTATTAGAAGGGAAAAGATAACCTAAATATTTCCATGATCTGTAACGAGAAAATACATTAAAGAACTTTCAGTGGTTAAGGCACTATTATTAACACACTATTGGCACTTTAACAGAAAATAATGAATATAAAAGTGGTATCAGTGTAGATGGGAAAATGCTACCTAAATATTCACAAGAGAAAAGATAGATGTTTAAAAACTAACAATTGTAGACCACTGGGCAAAACATTTGCTAGACCTAGGTAAACATTTTGAAAACACTTAGGGAAAAAGCATGAGAAGCCAATCACAAATACTCTTTTCTGGTAATTAAATTAGATCTGTCTGGGAAATTACATAGATATATTTTAACTTAATTTCAACAAAGTACTTTAGCTTCTAGAGGGCAGAATGCAGGTTTATTTGATTCTAGATTCCCAATACCTACCACAGTTCCCTAAAGCATAGCACATCCTCAAAACACAGACTTACTGATTCTACCATGTGGTATGGTTGTAAGGAAATTGGGAAAATATCACAGGGGACATATGCAGGTGGGTTGACAGCTACTAATTACATATATAGGATTTCCATTATAAATTGAAAGAATGCCTTAAGAATAGTATTTGCCACAGGTTCTGCACTTCACATTAACTTAGTTTAATACTCTGGGAAGGCAAAGGCATAGATTAAAAAAAACTGATCTGAATAAATCACTAGTCACACTAAGAAATACGTGGGTAAGATTTGTTCATCCAGAGCGTAGCACAGTTTGTAAAACTGAATAAGTGCATTATGGCAAATACGAATATTGGTAAGAATAGCAAAATTATCAAATGATAAAGTCACGGTTTAAAATTGTCAGAATTGGCTTCCTATTAGGAAGATAGGTTTTTAGGCTGAAGTCATTACCTTCCAAATGTTTAATGGAAAAAAATGCCAAGGAAAACATTATCCTCATAAAAAGAAAAAGAGAAAGAAAAACTGAAAGAAATTATAACATGGCACTTAATGAATGTTAAAAATAAATACAAATTTTAAACTTCCTATTAAAATATTCTTTAGGTCAAAAAGAAAAACAACCTAATTCTATGCCCAACAGAAAATCATTGAAAACTAAAACAAGAGTGTCAAAGTTATTAAACAGACACAAAAACTAGAAGTAGCACCGCAAATATTAGAAAAAAACTTTCAAGACCAAAAATACATGTTAAATATATAAACATAAAAATGTATATAAAATAGAAAAGGAGTAACTTTATACTTAATTTAAAAGGTATACTCTTTAACAAAGACTCATTACATTATTACACTTTATAAGTCAAATAACATGTAATATTTTAATAAAATATGGGAAAAATGACACAGTGCCAGCAAATAAAAGACATTTACCAAAACCATCATATCTAGCCCTAAAAAATGAATAAATCCCCAAAACAGTGAACAGAAAATAACATGAAAGTTAACAAAGTACTTTCCTAAGTACTTATTAAATTCAGAGTATGACAAATTATTAGAAAACAATAACACTACATATAAAAACTTATGAGATGTGGCAAAATGAATCATTTTTAATTATTAAGGGCTTTAATTAAACATAAAAATTAAAATACATAAAATAAGAATTGAAGTTAAATAAAATGACTTTATACATAAGTCTTATAAGATACTGAAATTAATATACTAAAAACAAAAAAAGCCCAGCAGAATAGTGATTTGAATTTAAAAAGAATGAATTTACCATTGCTGCTTAAATCAAATGTAAATGTTTTTGTTTTTAAAAGTTGTCTCACAAGTAAACTAAAATGTTACCTACCACAAAATGAATACTGACAAAAACTGCTTACTATGCTAACAGATATAAAATGCTAACACATTCCTCAAATAGATTAATATCAAGAACTATAATCATTTGATTATGTATTATCCACCAAGTACTGTTAAAAGGCTTTGCAGGCATTATTTATTTAATCTTAATGACAGTCATAGGAGGTAGTTATTATCATTGTCCCCACTTCAAATGATAAAATTTAGGCTTAGAAGGCAAATAACTTGTCTGTCCAGGGTCAGTATTCTAACCTTAGCAATATAATTCTGGAGTTTATACTCTTAGCCTATTTGCTATGTTACTTTATTTTCTCAAGTAACTCTACCATTAATTTAACATAGGCATACTTTAAGAAATTGCATGAAAGACCTCTAAGTATTAAATACAGTGTTAATAATAGTGTAAGAATCCAATAAAAGACAGAGAAAACCAAGGTTCAAGACTCAAATACATTAACAATCTAACACATTATTACACAACTCAACAAACTGTTTATATCTTTTGGTGCTGCACCATACAAGAGCATTTTAACGATTATTAAATGTCAGCAATCAGACAGCAATGGAAGGAAATATTCAAGTCCTGCTACTTCCATCAACTAAGTTACTGCTACTAAGTAACTTCATTAACATAACTATCAGGTGATTTCTTGGCGGGGGTGGGGAATGATACATTTTACAAATACTTCATAATCAAGAATATTTACCTGATGTTTCTAAACTTCTTGGTTTAGGTTGATCCAATTGTAGAAGCTCATCAAGGGCTAATTTTGCTGCATTGGATCTAGACTCCTTCTTATTCTGTCCCAGTCCAGTCTTGTATTGAATACCATCCACCACAGCACAAAAAGCAAAATATGGGCCCATAACATTACCTTGAAAAAGAACTCAGAGTGAATGCTATAATATTTCACAGTATGATCTTCCCAAAGATGTGTGTACATAGAAAACACCCTACTACAAAAATTGTGGAAAACTATTGTGGCCTATCAGGTTTTTGTAGGGGCAAATCAGATTAAAAGCAAAGCTGGGTGGATTCTGAAGAACTAGTTTTGAGGAATCCTTCAAGCAGTTAGGGTGGCTCCAGAGTCATCTTGACCAGCTTTAGAGTACAGGTCATGCGTGGAGTAACAGTGTTTTGTATAATGCCTGGAAATGATAAGCATCCAAATATCTACTGAATGACTAATGAGAGGTAAAATGTGGAGCCTCTGGCAACATCTCTGTTCTTTCAAACTTAAATACCAATAAAGGTGAAATTCTCCCACCTTTTGAGTGTCCTAATATTCTCACCAGTTGCAGAACAGAAGGGATCCCTTTGAAGAAATCCTGTACACCTATTAAGAAGCCATGGTAAGCAGTTCAACCCATCATAGCCATAGGGCAGATAGACGAGGGATGGGGGTAGAGGGGTTCATAAAGAAGACTAAAAGAAAAAAAAGCTAAAAAATTTAACTGAATGTCCAGTCATCCAAATTCCTAGGAGGATTACCTTTACACAATTACCTGTACCTAGTTTTCATATTTTCCTGATTAAAAAAAATGTAACAGAATCATATAAATTTACAGGCCAAAGATTTTTTCAGTTCCAATTTTCCTTGTTGGTATTCAGACATTAGGCGGCCTTGAGGAAACTTGTCTCCACTCTGGTTACGGATGGCTGCATATAATGTCATGCCACATAAGCCTTGTTATAATTATTGTTATTACATTATTAATCACATATTAGCTGTTTTTTTTAAAAAAAGATTTCATAAAGATTTTACAAGCAATTGCTGACTGCAACTCCTGACTCCCACCACCTATCACCTCGGTTTCCCAAGTTCCTTTCTTCATGATCACCTAGATTTTAATTTAAATTTTCTAAATCTGAGAACATTTTGTATATTTAGTAGGTAGCCCAGACGATTCTTATGTTTGACATATTACAGATAAAATTTGTTAGTAAGTACAGTGTGTCAGAGTGCTGAAACTTTAAACTTGATCCTTTTCATACCGCATGTTCTCAAACTTTAGGATGGATCTAAATGACCTGCAGAGCTTGTTAAAAATACTGATACTTTGGTCTCACTACAAAACCTACTGAAAAAGATTTCTCAACTCGTACTGTGCACATAAAATTAACACCATTAATAACCAGTGGCTAATGGCTTTGAGTAGGTTTTGCTCAGATCAAAGTTGATTTTTCCTGATCAATTTTTTTCTTATTGTGACCAATAGTTTACATTTTCAGTGTTAAGGGCAATTTCCAAGGGCAGACTGAGAATAATAGAGAAAAGCTAACTAGTTACACAGTACTGGTTACATTAAGTAATCCAACCTACAATGGACTTAGAAAAATTCCATCTTCTACATTAAGACCCCATTTTTGTCACTTGTTAGTTTACTGTTATTTCATCCACAAGACTTGAAACCTGACTTTGTTATGACAATCTTTACTAAAATTCTCAAAAGCTTTAAATTCTTTTGCAAATATGCTAACTTTGAGAACCATATTGGCAAGAGTTAGTACAAGAGAAATTAAAAGAAACCAAAATAATTGATAATGTGTGTGTACAAAGATACACAAAAATACACAGACTTTTTTAAAAGATTGTGTTTCTTGGGCCCTCCTACTTTTAGCCTGTCAGTGTCTCTCAGGAACATTTATTCTTATCCCTCCATTTTCCTGAAGTTCTTCCTAATCACAGGTCATAAGGTGAAGAAATAAGAAGCTGCTTCCTGCATTTTACAGATCAGTGAAATATACTCTGTATTCTGATCTATACTCTGTAGCCTTCCACAGGCACATGTGTAACATATTCTTCTGGCTGAGGAGCAGTTTAAGAGAGAATGGAGAAAATAATCACAAATAAGTCTGCAGACAGCATCAATCAAGTGCGTGCTGTTTTCACCTCTAATTCTTGAATTTCAGAAGCCAAATTTGATTATAATTTTTGTTAGGCATCATCATCATAGAATCCCTCTCACGAGATAATCAGAGTCCAAATATTTAACATATCTACAAAAGCGTATTTATTCTATAAGAAGTATTTACAACTGAAAATCAGTGAGGCTGATTAGATTTCAGTTCAACAAGCCATACACAAAATACTAAATGCAATGATTATAAAATCTGGGGGTGTGATTTTTTACTTACAGTTACTTGAAGAGGCTCAAAAGGCTAAAGAAAAACGAATATAAAAATTCTGATGTATATTTGTCAAAAGACACTAGTAGTTATCTAATCCCACTATTATACGAATACAGAAAAGAATCAAATTTAGTACCACCTGTGTTCTTCCTTTAACAGGAAACTGTTTTCAGGAACTCTAATAACTCTAATAACCACGTACAAGTCTGCACTTGCCTGTTGTTACTGTTTCCTTCAAGTCAAGATGAACCCGCTGCATTTGGGCAAACTGGTGCAAGGCTGACACAGGATTTATCTCTCCACATTTGTATTTTATTATAAATTCTTTAGGTATTCTTTTTGGAAGAAGGACAGGATTTGAAATAGATGAAACACCTTTGGAAAGCAATGATTCTGGAATATTACCTAAAAGTAAATGTTTATGTTCATCAATTTGGTAAAGTTAAAAAAAATGACAAGCAAAAGCATTAACTATTTCCGTAAAGGGGAAGACTGTCCCAGACACAGTCATATGCATTTTTTCACTATGAATAAGTTTCTACTAAATAATTTTGGCACATGAGACAAGTGAAACTTGTTATTCTATTTATCTTTTGGTGTACTAAGATTATTTTTCAAAGAAGTGCCATCACTGTCATATCACTAAGTGATATCAAAGAATCACAGAATTTTAGCCATGTCTTCAAGAGAATCTCTAAGCCATTTATACATATGATGTCACTAAGGCCTAGAATGGAGTTAAGACACAGGTCTGGAACTACAGCCTAGTTTCTGCTTCCCATTCACTACCTCACACTATCTTTCACATTGAATTCAATCAAACTTTGAAAGTGTGTTTCTCCCTGCTTTACAGTCAACACTATGCTAAGCAATATGTGGAATACAAACCAGTATAAATCCAGTCAGTCCCTTTCCCAAAGGGGTAACAGCCTCACCTCAAAGAGGCAAGACCCACTTGAAGTGTTTGTACAGTCAAGTGCTAAAGAATAACTGAGTATCAAGGGGAAGGATTTCCGGAGGCTTCCTACAATGTTGGGAGTCAAATATGAGTTCCAGGTGGGACACGGCTGCAGGTAAATTGATATACATCCAGACATTTACACCGGAGGCTTAACAGAACTTATTGGTCATCCCAGAATCTTCAAGAACTAAGGCATCATAGCAATGAAAATGAACTCGTACCTGTCACCTGCGTAACCTTGGATGCCATATTCGACAGGCTGTAATTTTCAGAGGAATATCCTGAGGGTGTAGTTACTGTCTGAGCTGATGGTTTAACTGGCAGGTTCTTTTTCAGCATCTGAGCAAAGCTAGGAACCGGGGAACTCTGAAACCAGTCATTGTTGCCAGACATCTTCTCACCTACAAATCATGAAAATTGGCAGAAAATGAGACAAATTACTATGTTAACTGAAAATACTGAAATAAACATTTCCATAAATGACCTTTATGCGCGCGCGCGCACGCACGCACGAGCACACACACACAAACGACACAACCTAAATTTCTGATGTCATGACTGCTTTGTGACTAGTTTTACTAAGCAAGGGACTTGTCTTTCCTATTTTTCCTAAGCACTGCTACAAAGGAGGAAAGAAGGGACAAAGCGGTCCATGGGGAAACTTTACACCTTGTTGGGGGTCAGGAACAAAGAAAAGAAAGAAAATACAAAAACCTGGGCCCCACAGCCGCCCGTTGGTGGACTAGACCCTCGCTAGTCCCGGCCTAACTCCCACCCAGCAAGATACTCCTTTTCACCCTGTTGGCTGGATCCCACGGGCGTGCAGTTCGGATTGAGCCTCGGGCGCAGGGCTTGCCGGCCGCCCTCGACGCCGTTGCTGCCTCCTCCTCCCAGCCGGGCCTCAACTTGTTTCTTCACGCTCTGCGTGACAGTCACGCGGGGCTGCGTCCTTCAAAAGTGGCCTCGCGACGCCCAGCAGGATCCAGACGGACTCCTGCGCAGCGTTCAGTCACCAACCGTCGGCGTGACTGCGCTGCGCTCCGCGCTCGCGCGCCGCTGGGTCCCTGCGCCCGCCGTTTCCGTAGCCCGGCGAGGAGCCGCTGAACGTAGTGCACGCTCGAGGGCAGATAGCCGCGCCCCCTGGCGGCCCTCCACGGAGAGGTCAAGTCTTGTTTGGCTTCTTGACTCTCCTGACTGCTGCCCTCCGCGCATACACACCCCTTCACCCGCTACCCCCACACTATGCTATTGGCGCGACCGTATCCTGGGTGCTTAGAGGCTGTCCTACGGTAGCTACGTGTGGGTGGTTTCAAGGAAACCACTTTATCCCCAATTATACTCTGAGAAGGCGTCTGTGGGCAAGGCGTCCACCTTGCCTTTCCGGGAAGCCTCACTGGCAGAACCAAACAAAGAACAATTGAGGCAGCAGGTGGGGGCGTTGAGAGCTAATGGCTCTACTCGCTGACAAACCCAAAGTGGGTGTTTTCAATTCTTCGCTCTCATAAAAATTGAAGGGGGCCCTTATGGAGGTGTTGGCTGGTAGCCTGTTCAAATAATTCTTAATAGAAAATTACTTAAGTTTTGGCATGTAACTCAAGTAACTCAAGGAATCGAGTTATGTTGCTATAATAAAATTTAAAAATCCCTACTTTTTTATACAGACAAGGTTACTTACGCAAGTGCTAAATCACTTAAAAAAATGAAAGAAAAACAACGCTAGAATCCATGGTGGTGTACCTCATTATAGCAAGAAACAATATCCATCCACAAATGCTAGGGCTTATTGGGAGAAAAAGCAACCTAATTCCTCTCATTATGCAATACATTTTCACTAAAAGGCTTTTTTTTTTAGGGATTATCAAAATGTGTTATGTTGCTTTGATCAAGTATGCATTAATAATTGTGATGCTAACTCAACCCAGAATTTGATTCTTAATATCTAGAGACTTCCTTACAGGAAATTAAAAAATTCAAATGTTGCCAAGAAGCGTGATAGGGATGATGAATAAAACTTGGAAATACAAAACGTGTGGTTACATTAGGATCAAATCTGAGGAAGGCTATGAAATGGAAATGGGAGCTCAAGAAGTAAAAGGAATGGGTAAAAATTACTCTTAAAAATAAAGCATATATACAATTTTCATTTTGAAATAATTTCAGATTTACAGAACTGTAAAGATGGTACAGAGTTCCTCTATCCCTTTCCCTCCAGTTTCCCCTAATGTTAACACCTTACATAACCACAGCATATCTACAAAACTTAAGTTAACATTGGTACAACATTGCTAACTATACACTTTTTTCAGATTCCATTAGTTTTTCAACTAATACTTTCTCTTCTAGGATTCAAATCACATTTACTTTGTGGTCACATCTCCTTAGTCTTCTGTGGTCTCTAATAGTTTTTTAGTCCTTTGATACTTTTGAAGAGTACCTAATAATTTTGAAAAATCTGGGTTTGCCTAATGTTCTCTCATGTTTATGCAAGAGCTGAGAATCTTTGGGGAGACTACTTCAGAGGTAAAGTTCTCAAGGCATATCAGGGAGTGTGATAATTTACTGGTGATGCTAGCCTTGAGGACTTGGTTAAGGTTGTGTTTGTCAAGTTTCTTCACTGGAAAGTTGCTGTTTTCCCTTTTCTGTACTCCATTTTTTAGACGTCTAGCATGCATGCAAAGGGAGGGAAACAGAGGTGAGTATCACAAAATTTGTGGACATGTTAAAACCAACATATTAATAAATATTTTGAGGGAGATAACTTGAGGCTATGTATATATCCTGTTCCAGCCTGGAGTTTCACTCATTAATTTTCATTCACCTTTGGATCTTGTCTGAAGCAGTTATTACTGTGGGATTTTTTTTTAATGTTTCCCAGTTAAACATTTTCATTCTTTCTTACTGAGATATAATTGATACATAACATAGGTTTCAGGTGAACAATTCCATATATGTCTATATTGTAAATGGATCACCACAATAAGTCCAGTTAACATCCAAAATCATGGATAATTATGAAAGTTTTTTTCCCAGTGATAAGAACTTTTAACATCTACTCTCAGCAACTTTCAAATATACAGTATATCCACACCTTGGATATATTAAAACTTTGATTCCAGGCCTCTGAAATAAAGCAAATATTGTAATAAAGTGAATCAAATGAATTTTTTGCTTTCCCAGTGAATATAAAAGTTAGTTTTACACTATACTGTAGTCCATTAAATGCACAATAGCATTATATCTAAAGAAGGTATTTATCTTAATTAAAAAATACTTTATTACTAAAAAAATGCTAACATCTAAGCTTTCAGTGAGTGACAATCTTTTTGATGGTGGTGGGTCTTGCCCCAGGGTAGATGGCTGCTGACTGATCAGGGTGGTGGTTGCTGAAGGTTGTGGTAGCTGTGGTGGTAATTTCTTGTAATATGACAGTAATGAAGTTTGCCATATCAACTGATTCTTCCTTTCACAAACAATTTCTCTGAAGCATGTGATGCTGTTTGATAGAATTTGCCCACAGTAGAACTTTCAAAATTGGAGTCAATCCTTTCACACTCTGCTGATGCTTTGTCAACTAAGTTTATGCAATATTATAAATCCTTTGTTGTCATTTCAACAATCTTCCTAGCATCTTCACCTGGAGTAGATTCCATCTCAAGAAACTGCTCTCTTTACTCAATCGTAAGAAGCAACTCTTCATCTCTTAGTGTTACGAGATTGCAGCAATTTTGTCACATCTTCAGGGTCCACTTCTAATTCTAGTTCTCTTGCTATTTCCACCACATCTGCAGTGACACCCTCCACTTAGGTCTTGAACTCCTCAAAGTCATACATGAAGGTTGGAATTAACATCTTCCAAACTCCTGTTAATGCTGACATTCTGATCTTTCCCATGAATCACAAATATTCTTAATGGCATCTAGAAACATGAATCCTTTCCAGAAGGTTTCAATTTACTTTGCCCAGATCCATCAGAGGGATCTCAAATTATGGCAGCTGTAGCCTTATTGTAGCCTTATGCATTTCTTAATCAGTAAGACTTGAAAATTGAAATGACTCGTTGGTCTATGGACTGTAGAATGGAAGTTGTGTTAGCAGGCATGAAAACTGCTGATCTCACTATATATTTCCATAAGAGCTCTTGGGTAACCAGGTGAATTGTCAGTGAGAAGTTGTAATTTTGAAAGGAATCTTATTCTCTGAGCAGTACATCTCAACAGCAGGATTAAAAGATTCAGTAAACCATGCTGTGAGCAACTTTTCCTGACACATCTCCTCAGGCAAGGGAAACAAAAGCAAAAATGAACAAATGGAACTACATCAAACTAAAAACTTCCTGAAAGCAACAGATAACATTGTCAGAACAAGAAGGTATCCTACAGTATGGGAGAATATATTTGTAAATGATTTATTCCATAAAAGGTTGACATCCAAAACATATAAAGAGCTCACATACCTCAGCACCCAAAAAACAAATAACCCAATTAAAAACTCCTTGGAGTATCTGAACAGGCACTTCTCCAAAGAAGAAATTCAGATGGCCAACAGGCACATGAGAAGATGCTCCACATTGCTAATTATCAGGAAAATGCAAATTAAAACCACTATGAGATCTCACCTCACACTAGTTATGATGGCTAACATCTCCCCATTGTATATTCATGGCTCCTTTATCATGTATTAATTGACTATATATGTGTGGATTTATATCTGGGGTGGGTCTGTTCTTATGCCAACACCAACCTGTTTTCATCACTGTAGCTTCGTAGTATAGCTTGAAGTTAGTGTGCATAATACCCTGAGCTGCTTTGTTCTTTCTCAAGATTGCTTGGCTATTCAAGGATTTTTGTGGTTCCAGGTGAATTTTAGGATTATTTGCTCTAGTTCATTGAAAAATGCTGTTGGTATTTTGATAGGGATTACACTGAATCTGTAGATTACTTTGGGTAGGATGGCCATTTTAAGAATATTAATTGTTCCTATCCAGGAACATGGGATAGATTTCCATTTATTTGTGTCTTCTTTAATTTCTTACTTTTGAAGAGTACCTAATAATTTTGAAAAATCTGGGTTTGCCTAATGTTCTCTCATGTTTATGCAAGAGCTGAGAATCTTTGGGGAGACTACTTCAGAGGTAAAGTTCTCAAGGCATATCAGGGAGTGTGATAATTTACTGGTGATGCTAGCCTTGAGGACTTGGTTAAGGTTGTGTTTGTCAAGTTTCTTCACTGGAAAGTTGCTGTTTTCCCTTTTCTGTACTCCATTTTTTAGACGTCTAGCATGCATGCAAAGGGAGGGAAACAGAGGTGAGTATCACAAAATTTGTGGACATGTTAAAACCAACATATTAATAAATATTTTGAGGGAGATAACTTGAGGCTATGTATATATCCTGTTCCAGCCTGGAGTTTCACTCATTAATTTTCATTCACCTTTGGATCTTGTCTGAAGCAGTTATTACTGTGGGATTTTTTTTTAATGTTTCCCAGTTAAACATTTTCATTCTTTCTTACTGAGATATAATTGATACATAACATAGGTTTCAGGTGAACAATTCCATATATGTCTATATTGTAAATGGATCACCACAATAAGTCCAGTTAACATCCAAAATCATGGATAATTATGAAAGTTTTTTTCCCAGTGATAAGAACTTTTAACATCTACTCTCAGCAACTTTCAAATATACAGTATATCCACACCTTGGATATATTAAAACTTTGATTCCAGGCCTCTGAAATAAAGCAAATATTGTAATAAAGTGAATCAAATGAATTTTTTGCTTTCCCAGTGAATATAAAAGTTAGTTTTACACTATACTGTAGTCCATTAAATGCACAATAGCATTATATCTAAAGAAGGTATTTATCTTAATTAAAAAATACTTTATTACTAAAAAAATGCTAACATCTAAGCTTTCAGTGAGTGACAATCTTTTTGATGGTGGTGGGTCTTGCCCCAGGGTAGATGGCTGCTGACTGATCAGGGTGGTGGTTGCTGAAGGTTGTGGTAGCTGTGGTG